GAAAGGCTCGATGAGTTTTTCTGATTGGTTCACTATCGTCAGAGGATTCGTTTTGCGCATCTGATATTTGCATATGTAAAAACTTCCTGACAAACAATTATTTCATTGGCTAAACGATTGCGGCCAATTGCATTTATTTATTTATTGAGAGTGTTGATGATATGATAATCTATTGCCAGTCGTCTGCCATTGCTTCATTCATTCAGGCAGATAGCCTGTAAAGATCGGTGTTTGAGTAAGTTACTTACGATATACGATAGTAGTATGTTAAAACTGTCGATGTAATCCATCTATTTGTCGTATTTCTCTATACACTCCAGGTGTGTACATATTTGTCAAAGAAAGTGAGAGAAACGAGATGTTTTTCTTTCACGTTTAGAGCATTTAACCCCACCATTAATCATTGTATGGCCACTACAACCGACAATAAATCAATAAGCGCTGGACAAGAAGAAGAAATCAATTCACTTCGTGATTATTTCAAAGATAACATTCGTATTCTATCATCTATCGGACAATTTTCGTATATTCTTAAAATTCGTACTGATCAATATGATGTTTCCTTAACATTACAATTAGATAGTAAGTTTTCGAACAGAACCATTCGTGCAACACATTCCTTTTTCATTGAAGAATCCTACCCGACGAAAGCACCTGAAATCATGATCACAGCACCTCGTCTGACTCCGGATCAAATTCTACTTGTACAACAACTTCTTCAAACGTACAGTGAAACATTAGTAAATAAACCGATGATCTTATCAATCTATACTCGTCTCTTGAAATGGTTCGACGAAAACAAGATTCAAACGTTGACTGTCAATACGAATAACAGTAATACTAACACAAATAATGCATCGATTTCTCCGAGTCCTCGTTCGCCGACGAATAGTAAATCGATTTCATCCTTTCTCCCATTGAATAATCACACCAGGTCTGCTCAAATCGATGAACACGATGCTGAACACGCTAAAAAAAGTTCAGCTAAAACAATCGATGATGTTCTTTCACATGTGGAATCGGACACGCGTCTCGATAAACGTTTCGTTCGTATTGGTTATCTCGATCAACATCAAAATTTGCAGGAGAAATCGTTGGATAGTTTCGATTCGAAGACTGATCTGCCCGCGTTCACTGATCGACAAACCAATTCGAAATCTCGTATACAGTACTTGAAATATGCAAATGAACTCATTTGGGACAAAGATTCACGAGTTGATTTAATCTTTGGTTCAACAAGTAATCAACAGACAATTTCCGATGTGATCAAACGACATAAAAATCTATCAGAAACAAAGTAATTCACGATTATCTTCTCTATCAAATCGCATGCCTTTCGTTATTCATTCGGATAGGACTTCACAAAATGAACAACTCATCGAGATCGATCCAACTCTATCAACCAAACGTTACCTAACCTTAACTGATAGTTTATACAAACCAAATTATCTACTATCAATCCCAATAACCGATCCATCTCTTATTTCACACTATATCACATACCGTGAACATCTTCTTGCATCCAATCCAAACTTATTTTCGTCGTCATCGTCACACGTATTCACAATTGACCCGCATTATCTTCATTTAACTTTACTTACCTTACGTCTCGAATCCCCGTTACAAATCGAACAGTGCATATTAGCATTGAAGCGTATCCAAGAAGAAGTTCATTATCATTGTTCCTATCCCGAACGTATTTGTTTAGAGTTCAATGGAATTGACACCTTTCATAATAAGACATTGTTCGTCAAGTGTCAACGAAATGCGCGCTTGGAAAACCTTCGAACATTGATTATCGAACGTCTGTGTGAGCAAAAACAGAAACAGAAAATGAATGAAATCTTCTTCGCAGGAAATTATCAAGAATTTGTTCCACATATAATTCTATTTAAAAGTAAAAGAAAATTCTTATCAACATATGCAAACGAACTCAACAATACGATTTATTTTGGTAAACAACTTATCGATGCTCTACATCTTTCATCCCTGAGTACGAACGAAAATGAACAGCAGAAACATCACTGTATATTTAAACTCGATTTAAGTTAGCAAACCAAACGAAAAGTTAATGATCTTTTCTTCTTCTTCTTCTTCTTCTTTTTTCATGCACTGTGTGAAGCCCTTTACACTTCTTTCTTCCATGCTGCTACAAATGCTTCTTCTCCTTTCTCTTCTATTCTTACGAACTGCTACCAAGCTAGATAGTATTCTCGCCGATTAATAATGCGCACAGTTAATCCTCATTTCATCTTTTTCTTTTCTTTCTCTTTTAAAGATTCGGATTTTGAACAGTATGTCTACAATGTGTTCATATAAATATCTCCTTTCTCTTTGTCGCTCTTCTTTTTTTATGTCACTTGAATATGTAATATTACGAATGATGATCATACCTTTGTTCTTCGATGAAACACAAAATAACATATCGATGACAGATGAATGTGTTTTTTATATATGTTGAATGTCAGTAATTTTGTCACATTTATTTATAAAAAGCAAAGAGAAATATGAATGAACAAAGAACTACGGCAGCTAAAACGACATCTTCTTCTCGGTGAAAATCAAGAAGCCATAAAGAAGATATTTGAAATGAAGTCATGTTGATAAGTGTTTTGATTAGATTAGAACCGATAATTTCATTATTCATATTATTGTTTTTTTATTTCTTGCTATCATACAGATGAATTATTCTTTAGATAAACATCATTCGCCAACGGAATGTTGCTTTTTTTCATATAGAATTTTTCAGAATATAAATACATCAGAGATATTTTCTAATCACATTCAAATGAGAAAGAACGTTTTTTGACGATACCATGTCGACGAGGTTGCACGACGAGTTTCCCTATTCGTACTAATGAGACAAGAGGAACGTATACGGAGAATGTCAAAAAACTGCTTTGATAAATATCGCTGCCTTTAGCTAGAAATAGACCAGATGAAAGAAACGTTTGTTGATATACGAAAAACCAATCGGATGTCAATACTTTTACAGATCATGTTTAGACGATCACTTTCCGAACTATTTCTTCACTTCGATTCAAAAATATAAAGTTTCACCATACACCTAAACGACAATAATTGCATTTCTCCTCGAGACAAGATAAATTGCCGCTATTATGTTTCTTACCAACGGACTTCTCTCCGTATGTTTTCTCCGCCACATTGCCAAAGCAAGCACGGAAGCAATCTCTGGAGAACTTTACTTAGATCTTATTTTCAATAGCAATTATTATGCTAATCATGCTTCTAAACGAACAATCGAGAACAAGTTTTCACTTCTTTCCACAAGAAACATCTATTGTCACAGACACACACACACCACGTCTAGAAATAATTAACGATGACTTGTCCAGTTGATCGTTCTTTTCTTGTTCGCGAAAGCGCTTCCAAGCTCTTGTTTCTTTCTCTTATTTCAGAAAAAAAAGAACATATTAATCAAGTATTACCATTGTATTAGTAAGCTCAGTATCATTTTCATCTAATAGGAAAGAAATCCGATTCTTCAGAAACTCGAATACGACTATCACTTCCTTTCGCTCTATTACGACGACCAACTCAATTAACTCATCTTTAACGAGATTGGCTTCAATTCAAATAGGATCAATCGTTAATTAATGAGATTATTCGAATCATAAGCAAGACTCTCATTCGTTGTATTTTCTTTCTCATTTGTAACTATCAAAAAGCAACAATAAATCACTGTTAAAAAACCCAACCAATTCAAAGTTATTTACAGAAAAAATAACGATTAGGACGGAAGAATATCAAGTGTATGATAATACGGAGGTGGCGGAGAAATCGACGAGTAATGACGTTCTTCAGGATAGGAAAAGCAGATTGTGTTACTCGGATCCGTGGAATATGTTGTTGCTGATGTATCAATAGATTCCACATAATAACCGGTGTGTCCAGATGAGATACTTTCATACGATCGACTAGATGGCAACGATGCAGTGATGTCGGCTGGTAGTGATTTTGATTGTTGTTGATGAGTATCAGGGCGAGATTTTCGTCGACGATGATACTGTATGAAAATAACCAAAAGAATTATGAAAAGACAAACACAGCTGAACATAATCAAGCGCGAATTAATCATCTGTTGTTTTTGTTGACGTTGATGTTGTTGGATAGACGAACAACTTAAGCGAAAGAGTAGTTTTGGATCGAAAATATCGGATGAAAGCATCGGCGGTGGTAGAAGAGTGAAGCGTGGTGGTGGCGGAAGACGAACCATCATTCGGAGCTGTTTGAATTCTAAATGGAGTAGACGATATATATATATATACTTCGATGTACGCCTGTTCTTCTATGGAAAATATTCAACTGATACACTATCAGGAGGAAAGGAGGAAATAATCTATTTATTAGATGCTGTTCATTGATTACAGTCCGTTAAATTATTAGCCGTGCCTGTTTATCAATGATATGTGTCGTCAGTATTGTGTATACAAACACATGTCATTCTCGTCCGGAACCGATTATACGCTCTACAACAGCTTAAAGTGATAACGAAGAATTTATAATGAACATATTGAACCTGACATAATAGGAAGATGAGTGATAGACGATTAGATGATAGTGAATGTGACATGTGTGTAGAAAACTTAGAATATTTCTGTCAAAATTGGTTACCTGCTTATGGATGAATATTCTTTGCTTTTTATCTTTAAACAGTCTTTTTATATGTTAATTTCATTCTACATTGTCGGAAACAAACAAAGATAATTTTCCAAATTGTTCGTTTTCACACACACAGACATTGTAGTCCAACTGGCAAATTAATTGATTTTTATCTTTTCTTGTGTAGGACTAGACATATGACGATATGATCTCTTCAATAAGCTATTCGCGTTGATTGGTTTACACACACACACACGCACACACAGATATTGACAAAATGTGTGATGTTTTAATTGATCATTTGTCAATGACGGAAAGTCGATCGACTCACTGAAGATGTTTTTATCTTGACGATTTTTATTTTTTCTTATCAATTGATGTTTTGTTTCGACAAAACCAGTGTCGATAGTGCTGAAGAGCAAACTACCGTGAATTGTTCTGATTCGTCCAATACCACCAACCAATAAATCACGGGAAGCATGAGTAACAGCTGATGTCTTTTCTGCATATGCGTACCTTATTTCGATGCTCATTTTCTTGTGTTGTTTATCTGCAATGGCATAGCGATCGAATTTTCTGTTGTAATGCTTGTTCTGCGAAAACTATTGCATTGTTTTCCGAAAGACTATCTGATAATTTTCTTTCGAACTTTGCGACCTCTGTTTTCTAAATATTTGTTTATTTCGCATTGCACCTGAACGCTCAGTTGTATATATAGAAAAGCAAATATTTTGGTGAAATTCTTTTCTAGATATTCTATAAGATCGAAACCTGTTTTCTTCGCACATCTCTTTTGTCTTTCACTGTTGAACTGAAGCAAACCACCCATCCAACAAACTGAACATCTCGATCGACCAGAACTTACCATCAAATAGTAAGCGAAAGTATACATCTGAATGTCAATCTCGTATTTTGCCATGTTTAGTTTCCAATAGTCATTCTCGAAAAGCAATGAGCAATCCAAATAGTATTGAAGATAGTATTCCAAACAAATCTCAACGAGAATTGGGTATCATTGAGAAATTGTGTTCAACTTATGGCTTTGTCTATTGTTGTCATCGTGATGGTCGTTACTTTTTCCACTTCAGTGAATATAAAAACGATATTCAACAAGCAAAGATCGGAGGTAATGAGATACTTGTACACGAAAGCAACATTTTGGTGGAAAATCATGCGTAGATGTGGTCGAATTCGAAACAACGATTGATAAACGAAAGCAAAAGCCTGTTGCTGTGAATATAACACCGGCTAGTCCTGAGATTGTTGGTGAAAATCGTGTTGAAGGAGCGATCGCTGTTGTCGCTCGTCAACCACTGAATAATGGCGTAAGTTGCTGGAAATATGTCATTTTTCGTAGTTGACATTCATCTTCTAGTTTGATCATTTGAATTATATGCCTGATGGGAAAGTAACATATGTGAAGAAAGGCGAAACTTACTTTTTACCATATGGCATATCCGATCTTCAAGATTCATCGAAAGCAGTTCAAGTTGGAGATCAAGTAAGGATGAATAAACAGATCTCTTCGTTTACGAAAGCCAATTTCTCATTATGATTTTGTTTAAGGTGACATTCAATGTGAGCCAAGATCGTCGTACGAATCAATTTTTTGCGAGGAACATCGTTGTTACTCAGAGAGGTCCGCCAGTAGTATCAACAGCAAAACGTTTCCGTGGTGTGATATCAACTATGAAAGATAGTTTTGGTTTCATCGAACGAGAAGATGCACTGAAAGAAATCTTTTTCCATATAACGGAGTTCGGAAATAACATTGCTCCAAATACAATTCAACCAGGTGTGGAAGTGGAATTCGACATTCAAAACAGACTCGTAAGGAAAGATGCCAGGAGAAAACGGGAAAATAGTTTAGAAACATTATGTTTAGAATAAAGATTTAGCGAGTAATATTACTATTCTACCGAAAGGCACAGTGCAGTTTGATGAGATTGATACGGCGCTGCACATTGGTCGAATAACACAACCATTACAAATGAAAACGAAGAAATCTAGTGATATACTATCTGGTCGATTACTTTACGATGCACCAGATAAGTAGGTCTACCTCTAATCTAGACTTCGTTGTGTATTTTACATGACTCTATGTAGGAAAATGAGTGAATTGCCATTTGGTGAACGCGATCGCTGTGGTTTATATACTTTACTCGAAAACGATATTGTTCAATTTGTCATTGCAAGAGATAAACGCGACGGTATGACACGTGCAACACAAATATCGCTACTCGATCAAAGTTTTCTCAAAACAAAGGAACATCGAGAAGTGGTAAGTCATGGATCTTCAGCATACGACTAACTACACTTATTCGATCTCCATTTTAGGGTACTGTTTTGCAATTAGTCGATAATAAATCAGGTTACATCAAATGCATCACATCGGATCAAGTCGTTCCGTTCCGATTCAGTGAAGTTATGAAAGATGATTTTCAAATTATTGAGGGTGGTCCATTGGAGTTCTCTCTAGCGCTCAATCCACACAATGGCGTTCGTTGATCATAATCAGATGATTTGCACAACTCTTTCTATTTGTTTGCTAGGATATTCCGCACGCCATACGTATTAAATTGTTAACTAAAGATAATTTTCGATCGATGATCAACGATCATGAATTTCGCGTCATAGGAGTTGTTGAGCGAGACGCCCAAGAAAATCATACAAGCTCGGACAACAAATCGCAACAAGCCAATGGGAATGATTCAATAACTATTCCATCAAGTCGGCAACATGAGCCAGGTGTAATTCGTTATTTATGGGATGACAAAGAAGCTACTATTCAATTTTCAACAACGAATATCAGTGGTACGACAGCTCTATTTTGTGGCGATAAAGTAAGTAGAATCTCGGGTTTGATTTGTGTGAAGACTTGAACATTTCCAGGTTGAATTTACTTTGACACTTGGAAATAAATTCGCTACGGATGTGACATTGCTTGAACGAAATCGTCTTCGTGGCTGGATCGCAATTATTCGTGACGGTAAAGGCTTTATTGAAGAGGCCAATGTGTCCGGCAATATCGAACCAATTTTATTCACAATTAATTCATTTACCGGTGATAATATTCAAATCGAATTAGGAGATGAATTAGAATTCAGTGTACGAAAAGTTTCGAATCGTCCCGTCGCTGAAAATATTCTTAAAGTATCTTCAACACTAAGCACTCTCTACGTAAGCCGCCTTTCTTTCATATCAAATCATCGGTATGCGGCATTTGTTTTTGTCATTAGTCTGTTCTACCAAGTACTCATCGTGGTCGTGTAGTGTCACCTGTGCGCTTGATCACAATTGACGAATGTGAAATCCTTGGACGAATTCAGAAAATAACAGATGATGGCACACCAGGTGAATGCTATACATATAGTATAACAGGTGTGAAAAACAAACGCGTGATTCTACTACCAAATGATGCAGTGACATTTTCCGTTGCTGTTGGACGCGATTATTCCAAACGTGCAGTGAACATTGTTTTGGAAAATGAAACACGAAAAGGAAAGATCGATACAGTCAAAGGACAAGTAAGACGAAGGTGAAGTTGATGTTGGTGAAATTTGGGATTGTTCTAGTTTGGTTTTATCGATTTTCCATGCGAAGAAAACAAGAAGATATTTTTTCATAACTCAGAAGTCGACGGTGGCTTTGAACTGCGAACCGGTGATGAAGTCGAATTTTATGCCCAATACAATGTGAAAACGTACAAACCATGTGCAAGTAGATTACGTCGAGTTAAGTAAGTGAACTTATAGCGAGAAATTCAGTTGGAGAATTCGATATCGTTTGTCTCTAGTAACCTTCAACGGCCTGATCGATTGATTACAAAACTTAAAACGATCAATTTCGACGAAAATACTCGTCAGAAATTAATTATTGTTCGACAACCACGAAATGCAGATGAAAAATCAAAAGGTTTTACCAATGCGCGTGTTGAGCGTACACCCGGAGTCTTAATAAAATCATAAAAGATTTGCAAAACATTCGTATACATATTTACATATTCATATACATACTAAATGAATCTCATGTTTTCCTGTTCGATGACATACAAGCAATAGATAATACCAATCAACAAAAATGTTGTTTTTAGTCTTGATGTAAAATGAACATTTGGCTTTTTGTCGTTGGTTTTCTTGTTTTCTTCACCTTATTGATCTTCGATGAAACTTCATGTCATCATGCCGTTTTAATTTTCAACAGTAATCGATGTTCATCTGTTTCGATTATTTTTCTTCTCTTGTATTCATTAATGTGTATATTTGAAAAAAAAGAAAACATCCGAGAGATTTCTTTTGGCAATTATTTACAAAACAAAGATCAATTGTAGAGATAAATATACACAAAGAAGTCCTATGTGGACGTCCTCAATTATTCGACCAATTGTCGCGCAAAGCTCGTTTTGTTTATCTCGGATGGCGTCGACAACAGCGATCGCACCAAAACTTCATATTTTACATTATGATTATGTCGAAAATGTTGTAGAAAAACGCAAACCGTATCGAGAAGCTCATTTGGCGTTTATTAATAAACAAGTTGAGAGTGGAAATGTTATTTTAGGTGGTGCTGCTGGTAATCCACCATCGGAAGCTTTTCTTATCTTTCGTAATCTGTCGTCAAAGCAAATTGAGGAAGTTGCGCAACGAGATCCGTATGTTGTCCATGGCATCGCTAGAAAATATTCTGTGAAACCATACATGGCTGTTGTTGGTGATGATTTATTGAAGAACGATCTGATTAAAATTTAGTGCATGTAGTAAATCATCTTTGAAGAACAAAAACAAGAAAGTCATTCAAACGTTTTTATACGTATAAAGATTCGATATAGAACAGTGTGAAAGACACAAAAAAAAATAAAATTAGTAATTATGAGAATAAAAATCACTCGACACGAGTGTGTGTTTGATTTGCCTATGTACAATTTCTAAGATTTGATCGAAGCATTGGAAGAGAGAACGGGTCAATCGGCCACTCCAAACTTGAGGGTTATCGGCAAGATGCATTGTTCAGTTTGAATAACATTGTGAAATAACACACAGATGCCATAAAAGTGCAAGTAAACGGCAACTATTACTGCAACATGCAAGATATGATGACTTTGTCCAACGATATCAAAACGACCTTTAAAATTCGAACGAAAAACATGAAACTTCGTGTTCTTCTAAATTTACCAGGAAAGAATCGTTCTGGCACTCGGACTGCATAAGTTACACCGCCAGCGATATATGTCACAGCCATGATACAAAGATAGAGAAAACCCATTTGAAACATACGAGGAAAACCGTGAAGAATGCATGCATGAACGGCCGGTACGACACCTAAAGGTTCAATTGAGAAGACTTTCAAAATTACTTTCGATTTCTACCGTAAAGACCCAACGCAATAAATAGAATAGCTTTGAATGGACGGCAGTGTGGTTGTGAACATGTAGCACTGCTCGTGCCAATGACGGAAGCCAGTGATAAAACAAGTAGAATACTAATATAGAGTGTTTTTAATTTAAAATAACAATAAAAAAAATAATGAATAACTGGAATCATTGAGCCAAAAATTAAAATATTAATGCCTAGAAGAAATCATATCGAATAGGATATAAACATAAATCAATCCATTAGTGAGAAGGGTATGACAAGGTCGATAGGAATGGCAATTCTTAGTCTCGCAGAACAAGATTCAATGATAACGAAGTTAATGAAAAACATTTGTATGCTCGACTGCATATATAAGTTAATACAGACAATAAACGAGATTGACAACGAGAGATTTTCTCATTTCTGTTCTGCAAGTCTTTTCTCGTTCGATATATCGATAAAATAACGAAATGTCACTGGAAGACATGTGATCTTTTGAACAGTAGAGAGTCGTTAATGAAGGCTAAGAAAGAAAAAGTTCGTTGATTTCTTACCCATGTAATCAAGTTTGGAAACGATAACCATAACACGTGGAGAATAATTGATAAATACATGTAATAATGTTGAAAATGTTAAACATAAGATCGCAGATATGAAAAAAATACTAAACGATATGTAATCACTCAAATCCATCTGTCTATGATTATCAATGAGAAATAGAACGAAAGTAACAGCGACACATAGCGCTCCAATCAAATGCGTCCAGATATTCACTGTTTCGCTATGTATTGAGGCGATGGATATGAGACATTCTCGAACGGAATTTGCAGGTGGTCGATGTTTTTGTAGTAGGAAATGATTATCCCCAAGCCATTCTATGAAAGATAAGAAGAAAGAAAATTTCGTTTATATTTTGTAAACAGATAATTGACCTGGAAAAACTTTTCTAATTGAGAACGAATAAATAACAGAAAGATCATGACCTTTCCCGAAGATTTTCTCTGCTGACTTATTTCAATTCGTGGATAACCTCTCTCGAAAACTCATGTTTAAAATACAAACCTGGCAAGCCCCAATGTGCGATATATCGCCGCCGGAGAACATTGTCAACGGAAGTTTCATTGTCTGGAATAGTTCGCAACGGTCGTTGTTCAGGCCGATCTGTCGATTCAATGTCATAGTGATTAAAACGTTTTTCGTACGAAGGTGTTCTCAGGAACGAGAAATCTTGATTGGGTGGTGTCATTGCTGTTCCATGATGGTGAACATCTTCATCATCATCGTCGTCGCTTTTTTTTCGTTCTCGTTCAATTTCATCGGCAGCTGCCTTGATTTTTTCACTCAGCATCGGCATTGCTCTTGACAACAAGGAACTCGATCAACTGTTAATATGTTCCAGTGATAATCCAAAATAGAATTGCCGATTGTGTCAGCAGAAGAAGAGTAAATAACAAAAGAAGAGAATAGAACTTGTGTGTGCTCAGCTGAGTTAGTTATATGCATTGGTACGAGAAGAAAGCCAATCAAAAATTTTGATCAATTGAGGATAGAGTTCGATGTGCTAGACAACAACAAGGCATACTTGACGACAATAAAAATAGATTTTTAATTCAAACTCGAACTATTTTCTTACATGAAGAGACGTTTTGCAGATTGAATTACAATTGAATTCATATGAGCTCAAATTCAGTTAACTGGATATCTGATACACATTTTTCATGTTGATTCATTTTGTTGGTATGCTTTTGTTTTCAACAGTTATTCTTGTAGATATACGATGAATTAACAGATCATATATACATTAGTTATCACTATTTGCAATGTTTCAATCGTAAAAAAGCGACCGAACAAACAAAAGATGTTTTCCATCAGTAATGTCAAGAATTTGCCGAAAGTTTGTTTCCATTAGACGCTTTCCAACGACTATAGTTGACATTTAAAAAAACTAAATAAAAGAAGCATATATGTATATCTACACGCTGGAAATTCTGGTAATTTATTAATGGATACATACATATCTAGGAAAAAAAGACAAATACTTAGAGCGTTATTTTTACCACGCAGAGATTTTTCTCCGAACATGGATGACGTCGAGCAGAAAAATGTGCCGTTCTATACGTCTGCAGAACTGACGTCATTTTTTGTCCGATACAAGTTTTGTTGTTATAAAAGTAATCTAACCCATTGCCTATCTCTCTTTCTAGATATTTTATGTAGTTTATTATGATTATTGCTTTGATCTTTCGGTTGTTCCCAACTTGTACTTCTCCCATCTGTGCCTGTTTATGAATCTCGATAGTACTCTCGTCAAGTATTCACTGTTATCATTTCCAAACGAGCATTGATGCCTCTCAACAAGTATGTTATACCCGTTGTTTTTCTTTTCTTGTTATTTTTAGCTAAGTTATAGTACTTCAAGCGTATGTTTGATTATAAAAGATGTCTCTTTTCAGTTGTCTGAAGTTTGGTCATGAACAACAGGGACACGCCAGTGAGCCGATCTGTTGTTCACACGCTTCGTCATAATGGTTTCGTCGAGAGAAGATCGATTTCATTTGATTAGTGTTCGCCATTGATCTCGAAGGCGGTTGATACTTGCGTGAAGATTTGTTTTTTTGATTAGTTATGCCAACTGCGCGACGGAACATCTTGAGTAAATCAAGGGCATATGTTGTCTCTAGAATATTGATTAAAACAAGAGCGAGAACAATGATATAGATAAATAATCGCATGATTGAATAATTTATCAAGGAAAAAAAAACAGAAAAGTGAAACTAAGCGCCTACTTCTATTTAGAACTGATTCGTGGTTTGCACGCATTAATCAAGCGTTAGGACGGGACAGAATACCGACAGCTGATGGTAAAGAAGATATTCGATATGCTGTACGAAAGATCAATCAATACTTCAGCGCGGGTATGTCTTACCGTTTGGTGATGGTGAAGAAAGTTGAATGAAATCTAATTTTAGAAAAACCAAATCATGAATCGATTAGCAAACATGCAAATCTCATCGTTGAACTTTTACTTTCCACGCATCGTTGTTCAGATGATTTCGAATTATTAAGTCAAATATTAGTGCTTATACGAGACGTACTCGATTGTGACAAGAGTAAGAACGAAAGAAACAACTCTGACAGAGATAAATGATCTTGAAGATATCATTACATTACTAATTCTATGAGCAACCCGTGGCTCGTGAAGAACTAACGAGAATCTAGCATGCATACTTGATTTAATCAGGAGTAGATAAACAAAAAACAGGAGTAATTCGAGAGGGTTGGACCAGTTGCTAGAAAGTTTTCTTATGGCCTTCGTTTTAATGAGAATTCTCTTTTTTTTCGAAGAAACGCGACGGCCATTGGTTAAAGCACTGATAAAAAACGATGTATGCAGCTTTCTATTGCATCATCTTCGTGCTGTTGCTGATGATCGTGGTCTAGGACAAGATCTTTCACTTCAAATTCATCAGATCTTAGCAGTTATTGGTCATCACGGTAGATTAACGTTCAATTTACATATTGTTCCTTCTCTATTCAACTTTATTCTCCATAGATAAACGTCTTCCATTAAAAGCTCGCCTATTTAAAACCTTAGGATGTACGATTGGCTTGTTACGGATATATAGTTATAATGCCAAGATTGGTCCAGTGATTCTGACTCTGTTGAAAATCTATGCTAAGAACGGTAAAATACTAATTGTTTCAAAGAAATCAAATTTTTTGGACAAGGATTCGTTTTCTAGCAATAACTGCGTCAGCGATATGTCGAGCTCAAGGTTTACAACCATTACTGCGTCTAGCACTGACACTCGACCGACGCCATGCTAAACTACAAAAAGCCGCTATCACTGTAGTTCGATATCTTACACAAACGAGTAGGAAAAGATTAGAAAATCGAAGAGTCAACTTGCTTGGACTTTTTTTTAGAAAAATTAGCTGCTCGAGCAGCGACTACAACTATTGTTCGTGATATACTAGCTATCGTTTTTCTAATGGATAAATCCCAAGGACCGAGCCGTGGGCGTTCAATTAAAATCAAAGAAAATCTCCTTAAAGTGCTCTTAAATCTAGTTAAATCAAGTAGATACAAACAATTTTGCACTGATTTGTATTTTCTCATTCACTTACGTCTATACAGAGGCTGGCCGTCTTCAATTTTTGGAAGCCAATGGTTTTTATCTTTTGCATGAATCAGCGATGAACGTTCTACAAAATGATAGTTTTACTACTTTTCTTGATCTTTCCTGTCATATTATGTTACATTGCTGTCCTAAACAACAGTTACCACTGGAAAATGTTTTCAGTCCAGTGCGATATGTTTTACCGCAAGGTTACGATTACATTGTTTCCAACGAATTGTTCATGGCTGGTATGAAGAAAGCTTTGTCATTCGCGTTATATATCTTCCTTTTTTTTCGAATGATCAGATTCCGACCCTAATATGTATAAGGATACGAATGAGACGCCTGAACAAAGTAAATCAGTTCTTCCAACAAGTGAACAACGTGTTCGACCGAAATCATCAACAGCTTCTAATGTAGTTACTCGAGTACCATCAGCATCGAAATCATCAGCAGTTGCGGCATGTCGACCAAAGTCAACGAAAGGGGCACGAGCAGAAAAGAAATCACACGAACCTCAAGCATTACGAAAGAAGAAGTCAAGTTTAAATGGGCTTAAAGATCGTCAAGTGTCAACGATCGATGATGAGGCCGACGAAGAAAGCAATTCTCTAGTCGAAGACGAAGAACTCGATGATGAAGGTAAGACTTGTTAAAAAGAACTCTGTTACTCTACCCAAATAATATTTCATCTGTTAGATAGTGGCAAGTCCGATGAAGAAGAGGAAGATGAAGAAGATGATGAAGAAGATGATCCATCCAATCGAGAAAACTTTACTAACTCTTCTGTACCATTACCGAACGGTGAACCAGTCGCGGTAAGGACTTTACCCGCCATTTACATACTGACAGTCCGACCTATCCTTTTAGCGTGATCCAATGGAACTAGCTGCATCTTATGATCAGTTTTTTGATGAAACAGTCGATCCGATTCATGTGGTATGCATAGAATATGACATTTTGAATAACATATTATTGATTTGATTTCTAACAGCTACGTTTGAAAATGACACAGACTATCGTGGATTCACGGACGGGGAGTTTATTGACACGATTATTTAGCAATACACTACCATCAACATTAATGCGCATCTCAGATCGATCTAGCTTCTGTTATTGGCGTATGCCTTCGGATTTACATTTTCAAGCTTATGCAATTCATGCGACGTCTACAAAAAGTGCCTATCGGTACAAACATATAACTATATCCACAGATGATGAATTTTTCTTTTGTTTAAAAGATTTACAAAACTTGCATATCCAGACGCTCTTAATGGATTATCCTATCCAAGATGTGAACCCATGCAAAAATCAGATGAACGAAGTATTCGGTGAGGTTAATGATGATGCTTTACACAGAGATTACATCATTTCTCTTTTTGTATGTTTGTAGCTCGATATTACTTGGCGATATTCATCGAATTCTTTCTCCGCCATCGATTTTCTATCGAACTGTGTATGATTTTGATGCAGTTGTTAACCGGTCGTCAGTAACAGCTTTGAGCAACGATGATGAACAAAAGTAAGGCAACTGAAAAGCTCTCTATGCCATGAAATTTGCATTTTGCTCGTCATAAGATGTCAAATGCGATCAACCGTTGATCATCTTCTGTTCGATTCTCAATTTGAAAGTGGCAATTTACGAAAAGCCATTCAAGTAAAGTCCAAAACCGCATCGTTCGTATACTTATCCTATGTTCATAGATCACAGAAGAAGAGTATGATTTGATACTCCGTCCAGATGTCAATACATCTCGTCATCATCAATGGTTTTATTTCGAAGTGTCTAACATGCGAAACAACATGACATATCGTTTCAATATCATTAATTTTGAAAAAATCAATAGCCAATTCAATGCCGGAATGCAACCAGTGATATTCAGTGTACACAATGCCCGAAATGGTAAACCATATTGGCGTCGAATCGGTGAAAAAGTTTCCTACTATAAAAATATCTACGGAAGAAAAAAGAAAATCTATTACACATTAACATTTAACATAAGATTTCCACACGACAATGATATCTGTTATATTGCTTATCACTATCCATATACGTATACAAAACTATTGGTAAAAATAAGGTGAATTCATAGTGTAATGTTTCTACATACTATGTTTAGACGGATATAACAAATTGGTCGAATACGTATGATCGGTCGAATATTTATTTCCGCCAGCAGGTACTTTGTAAAACATTATCTGGTAACGATTGTCCTCTGTTGACAATAACGAGTCTATATAATGAAGATGACATGTATCAAGATGAAAAACAAACCATTCCAATCCGTAAGTAATCTTCAAGCAAAAAAAAACAGCAATGTGTTCATATGTCACTTGCAGAAGAACGATCGTATATTGTCTTATCAGCACGTGTTCATCCGGGTGAATCGAACGCATCGTGGATTATGAAAGGCATTATTGATTACCTACTCAGTGATGAGCCAGCAGCACGAATTCTACGAGATCGATATGTGTTTAAGGTATATTTCATTTGATTTCGATACTCATTATCAATTCAAACGGATTTTAGATAGTTCCAATGCTGAATCCTGACGGTGTTATCAATGGATGGTAAATACCAAAATCTAACTTTTCAATTTGGCATATCTATTGATTTTCTTCTTAGTTCGCGTTGTTCATTAGCGACGAAAGATCTCAATCGCCAATGGTCGTCGCCAAACTCAACATTATTTCCAACGATATACCATACGAAAGGTTTAATAGCATATCTATCAACGTGTTCTTCACGGCCAGTTACAGTGAGTTATCAAACAATTGACTATTTGTTTTACCGAACTTTTCGTTTAGTTATTTTGTGACTTTCATGGACATTCTCGGCAGAAGAATTTCTTTTTCTATGGCAACGATCCTCGTCTTCATTATCTTGGTCCTGCTGTCGGTCGTTCAGCAGTAACAAAGCTATTTCCAAAACTATTCACTGGTGTGCCTGGTTTCGCATTACAAAATTGTTTATTCACCATGCGAAAACAGAAAGAAGGTTGTGCGCGTATTGTGGTTTGGGATGAATTTAAAATCGATTTAGCTTATACAATGGAAGCAACATATTGTGGTTTTGATACTGGAATTTACAAGGTTCGTTTTCTTATGTGGAATTCATGATTTCAATCAATAGTGTCATTGTAGGGTCTACAAATCCAAATATCATCGTTACAATCAATCGGACATGATTTTTGTCAAGTTTTGTTGAAACTAGTTGATCAAGAGTTCAAGACAGCTGAAGTTATTGCTCCATTTGAAGAGCTGTTTATTGGCAATGATGAATATCCACAAGAGAAACGGTATGAAATTTCATGATATACCTGTGATATAGATTATGCACTGCTATTTTTAGGACAACTAACAATGATGAGAAACGTCGTAGTTCCTCGGCATCCTCTTCTTCCTCATCGTCATCCAGTAGTTCGTTGTCATCGACAGACGGTGACCTTCAATAAGAAAACGAAGTGCCTAGCGTACAACAACTCGAGTTTTTTGTTCTCTCGCTCAAAACTGTTCAGTCATTCATGCTTGCTTTTCCATTTCATTTGCATGTACAAAAGAAAACAATAAAATCCTTTAGAGAGGATTCGTTTGGCAAGTATTTGACACTCTGGAAATAAAGTAGTACATTGATGCTGTTTTATTGTGATCATTGTTAAATTACATAAAAGGAGAAACGTGTATGAGAGAAGATGATGATCATTCTTAGTACTGATTACATATACACGCAAACATACAGACAAACACTTCCGAACCGGATGAGACAGAAAAAGAGAGAAGGATTCTCTTTCCAAGAAAAGAAAAGCAGTCAAATTATCACAGTTAACATTAAGAAGAGAGAAAGAGAGAAAACGTATTTGCCTAAGAAGGAATATTATTCACGAGAAATTACACTGTACAATATTTTTTTAAGCCACATAAACATATTCTGATATATTTGTCTCCGATCTCGCCATATATCGATGATCAATTAACCATTCGATCATTTCTTTGATTAATTTCTTTGATGGTACGAACATATTTTTCAATATTTCGATTAACTCCGTTTGTAACTGAGCATTGTTCATACGTTGACGAGTTTTCATTATTTGTACAATTGCTTCTTTCGTTCGCTCACCACGTAAAAACATAATTTCTTCATTTTCTTCTTCGCGTCCTTTTTCCGTATTTAATTGTAGCCGTTGAATCATATTGATATGCCCGCGTGTCTGTACTTTACCCGCACGAATGATCGTAAAGTCGTAGTTGATCCAGAATAAACTCGATTCACCCAAATCTTGATGAGATTGCCCATGTGGCTCGTAGCATATCAATTGCTGCTTTAGTTTAGCAAATGACACCAATGACCAGAGAGTTTTCTTCAGTTCAGTTTCAGGAATGTTTGTCGCTAATTTCAGTTCGCTAAATGTTAATTTATTAGTTGGCCGGTGGTTCCACGCGAATAGCACAGATGCTTGCAAGGTTGACACATCCAAATCGTATTTTCCAGTTTTCGATGCGAACGTTAACTGAAGAGAGAAGAATTAGCGATTTAACGAAAGGAGAAGCTGATTTCTATTGTAAAGTTTACCTGACCGTTTGATACTGTGTGATACCAAGTTAGTTTCCTTCCGGAATGTTTTTTCTTATAGAATTCTTCAATTTCTGGTAGGACATCTTCGATCTGTGCTGGTAGCGACACGTCGATTTTATCGCCGGGATGTGGCCATGCTGCAGCACTGAGAATTTTAAATGAGAAGGAATCTAAACCGCAAAACAGAAGATAAGAAATGTTGCTCTATCAATATCATTCTTCAACGTACCCATCATCGTATTATTATTCCGCGATGATGGACACACACTTCGAAATTCTTCGTTCATATCACGATTTAGTTTTAGATCTTTGAACATCTGTTGTAGTTTAAGAATAAATTCCGCTGGCATTCCCACATCCTGAACAAGAGTACAATGAATGCATGGATATCTTATGGAAAATCTCGTATACATACCCTCAATTGAATGACAATGCTTTCTTCTAGTTCATTATCGATCGATGTATCCAAAATGAGACGACGTGTCAGCGATCCTTTATAGAATCGCATGAACACGTCTTTATTCTGTACATATTTCAATAACAGTAGCTAAAACATCGCAGTGAAACTTCGATGAATGATTAGATCGTTTCGTTTACTCACCACATCTTTGATTTTAGATTCGATTTCTTCTGAGGAATACTTCTTATGCGTAGATGTACCTTTGCGCAGTAGTATATCACAATATTGTGCTAACAATTCTGGACAACGTGATTCTGCGAGAGTTGTTCGCGTCGTTCTTAAAAAGAAAACGTCATCGATACTCACCAAACATACTTCCGAAACTTAATTTTACCCTCGAGTAGCACGCGCTGGCATATCAAGTTGAAAGACTGAAGTATCATTAATAATTTTCTGAAATGCTATTCAAACGAAAAACATTTTCATCAGCAGAAGAAGCAGAGTATATCCCCATCTACCTTTGTCTCTCGATGTGAGAAATCTGGGATCATTCGAGAAAGCATCGTGAACTAAATTTGAAAATTGTCGATAGAGATCTAGTAGTTGTTGAACGTAACTTTCCGGATCCTAGTTTGAACAGAAAGCGTTTTGACTTCGAATACACATCAATTCAATAGACCTGTCTAATTGTATCTCTGTTTTTTAACATATTGTCTAAACCTTGCTTAACAATGAATGTTTCGAGAGCTTGAGTTAATGAGGTAATATCGCCCGTATGATCCAGTAGAGTGAATACAAGACGTAAACCTTAAGGGAAAAAAGATGAACATGTAGAATTCAGCTTGTTTGACTCTCTTACGTTCAATATCATTATTTTCAATCAAATTCGGACATTCATTGGTGATTTGCTCGCGAAATTCTGTCACAAATACATCAACACAGCGGCCGATTAATAATGGTACACTATTGCATTCCGGTACGGATTCCAAATATCGTCTAGCACGTTTTTCTTCCTCCTAAAGACAAAAGAGAGCTTCTTGTTTGTTTCTTGTTTAACAATCAACTACCTTCAATTTTTGGTCAGCGTAATGGAGATACGCGAGTATTCCATGTTCGCCAAGGTATTGACCAGTCTTTTGCTTGTAAAATCGAGTTGTTTCATTCAGGTACGCACGTTCAAAATTTTCGATATAAACTTTGTATTTGTCTTTCTCATCAGTCTTTAGACTAACTAAAAATAAACAAGATGTCAAACTGTGCAACTTAGCTGGATCAGGTTTCAGATGGAAAAGCAAAGAAAGAATGACAAAAATTCTTTACCATAAGAATCTCGAACGCCAATAACTAATTGGGAATCAAACGATTCGCCATTTCGTTCTGCTTGAACTAATTTCATGGCACTATTCTGAAATTTAATAAATTAACATGAAATATTTCTCCGTGGTTCAGCATTACTTGTAGACGATGTTTGATATCTTTAAATATATTGTTATTCCATGACTCGAGCATCAATTGTCGAACTTGATCGGTGCTTCGTGTTGCTTTCTCTGAGCTTGAAGTGGAATTCGTTTCAATTCGAACGAAGGGTTTTGGTAGATATTCGCATTGTTCGTAGAACTTTGACCATTCTTGAATATATGCTTTGAGCAGTCTAAAGACAAAGCCATGAGTCATGGAGATTCTCATAGGAAAAACTCTACGTACGCTGAATCTTCGTCGTGTCTTAGAACACGCTAAAACATATTCACAAATTTGAATAATGATCTCGAAATGTAAGGTTCCTTACTTCTTGCGCTTGTTTGATATGTCGTGTGATTTCATTTGTTAATTCTGCGAATATTTCCGGTATACTAGTTGGATACCAAGTTGAAACACTGTACACGTCACTAAAAGAATCTCGACAAATGAAAACCTGTTTGTTTGAACTTCGGAATATCTGTACGTGAATAGATTCTGCCATTCCACTTGTGAAGTTGGCTCTTGTCGGAGAATCTTCAGAACAACACGTTTCATTTGAGGCCATCGGTCTTGAAATGTTGTAGGATGAGTCTGGCGTATTTGAAAAGAAAAGTTCAATTAGATTTACGAATCTTTCAATATTTCGACTTACCATAACTAGTTAGAAAAATATCAATCGAAAAACAACAAGAAAAAGATGTAATGATTCAATTCAGCTGATTCTGATTTGCTGAATGCCTCTAAGCCAATCCGATTAATCTAGTCTGCGTTACTGTCAATGCCGGCGCACTATATATAATTAGATGAAACTGTGTAGATATTCAACAACATCTTTTTCTCTCGTGTTCAGATTGTTTTTTTTTCTTTCCAATTATTTTTCTTATTAGCATGATCGATACCGATGAAAATTTATCTGATGGCTTGACAATCAAAGATTTATTTCAAAACCATGATGGCTTAACTTACAACGATTTTATTGTTTTACCTGGTTATATCGATTTCTCATCAGATAATGTCTCACTCACGTCAAAACTTACAAAAGCGATTACAATTCAAACACCGTTTGTGTCAAGTCCCATGGACACCGTCTCTGAATCGAACATGGCTAGTGAGTTGAAGAAAAATCGTTTGATTCAATACTTCACGTATTGCGTTTTAGTTGCAATGGCTCTCAATGGTGGAATTGGCATTATTCATCATAATTGTTCGGTAGAATATCAAGTTGGTGAAATACGACGAGTGAAACGTTATGAACAGGGCTTTATAACAGATCCATTGGTGTTATCGCCAACACATACAGTAGCAGATATCTATGCAATCAAGAACACTCATGGATTTTCTGGTAAAAGAAAACATTATCTTTTTTCTATTAAGACATTCGCGTGAGTTTTTGATTGAATAGGCATTCCCGTAACGGAAAATGGAAAAATTAATAGCAAATTACTAGGTCTAATCACATTTCGTGATATTGACTTTATCAATAAAGATCAATGGTCAATAACGCCAGTTAGTCAAGTGATGACTCCAGTCGACGAGCTGATCACAGCAAAAAATGATCTCACTCTCCGAGATGCGTATTTAATTCTACAACGCAGTAAAAAAGGTTAGTTCGTTAATGAAATTTACACTTCAACGATTTCTTTCGTTTTTTGTCAACAAAGAAATCCTCAACGATCAGTTTTTATACCTCATATACAAAGAAATCTTACAAGAAGCATAGAATCATAATAAAAAGATGACGAAAATAATCTGGTATTTTCTTTCTAGGAAAGCTACCAATTATAGACTCGAATGGTAACCTTGTATCGTTAATAGCTCGCACAGATTTAGAAAAGAATCGTGATTATCCATTAGCATCGAAAGACAAACACCGGCAATTACTATGTGGAGCTGCCATTGGCACGCGAAAAGAAGACGAGAAACGTCTCGAAGCTCTCGCTCAAGCAGGTGTCGATGTCGTTGTACTTGATTCTTCCCAAGGAAACTCCATCTATCAAATTGAAATGATTAAACATATCAAAAAGACTTTTCCAAATTTACAAGTGATTGCTGGAAATGTCGTGACACGGGCACAAGCTAGAAGTTTAATTGATGCGGGCGCTGATGCACTACGAGTGGGTATGGGAAGCGGGTCAATTTGTATCACACAAGAAGTCATGGCCGTGGGACGAGCACAAGCGACAGCGGTTTATAAAGTAGCAGAATACGCTCGTCGATTTGGTGTGCCGGTTATTGCTGATGGTGGGATTACATGTGTAGGACATATTGTGAAAGCCTTAACGCTGGGAGCTGATTGTGTGATGATGGGATCATTATTAGCTGGTACGCATGAAGCGCCAGGAGAGTATTATTATCAAGACGGTGTTCGACTGAAGAAATGTAAGTTTAGAATCAAGTTTCGAAGAAGATTTCTCATAATCAAGAATCTTTCGAATAGTTTTTTAGTCGATGCAAAGGTAAAAAAAAGAATAGGATATTAAAAAGAAACTAATAATTTGATCGATAATCAACACCGCACCCTATAATTTTCTTTTAATTTGCTTGAGAGATTACACGAGAGGAAAAAACCAAAAAAAAAATCTCATTGGTTTCCTTTTACAGATCGTGGAATGGGAAGTCTCGACGCGATGAATGCCTGTCAGGAATTATCTGCTGCAAGTCGATACTATTCCGAAGCAGACCATGTGAAAGTTGCCCAAGGTGTATCTGGTAGTGTTGTCGACAAAGGCAGTGTTCATCGATTCATTGGCGGTTATCTGTACACAGGTGTACAGAAATCTCTGCAAGATATTGGCTGCCGGTCGCTTATGCAATTACATGACGAATCATCCAAAGGCCTAATTCGAGTTGAGAAGCGTACAGCTTCAGCACAAGTTGAAGGTGGTGTACACAATTTACATTCATTTGAAAAACGCCTTTTCTAAAGAAAACTAATTTAAGCATTCGATGTTTTTAAACCTTATTGAGCGAACCTTTCTGCTTGTTTTGTTGTGTGTTTCGTAATGTGACTGTGAATATTTTTATGTATTTTATTTAACCATTCCAAGACTTCTACGTCTACACGCAACGCCGATTCCATTTCTATCTTTTTCTTTTCTTTCTACGATTTCATGTTTTTTCTATGTCACTGTATGCATTCGTGTACGAGTTTCAAATGATGGTAAGAATGATCTTACATCAATAATAAAAATATCACAATAATAATATCCTCAGTAATGAGCTAGGCAACTTGTTTCCGTTAATAATGTGATACGAAAGTCTGTAGCGAATGCAAAACGTGGTGATGGTTCATATAAGTATCACTTCTACTTTCTCACCTAGTTGTGTTATTTGCTAATCATGGCAGGAGTCCACGAATAATGAGTCTGATGCCTACGATTTTAATTGCCTTCTTCTCGTATTATTGATAATTTCAGTTTTATTGGCATCCATTAGAGTTCGTCAAGTTACGTTATCTCCGAAAAGCAATCGATCTTATTTATTTACATATTCGATTTGATTGCATTTCAGGATAATCACCGTCGTGTCGATTTAACTTCGATCAAACAGGATTCTGTTTATTTTCTTTATATCCAACGTACTTTTTCCTTGTTTATCATATTGCTTTATTTAATCACGATCTATGTCCATTAATTCAAATCATTTGAACACAAAAGATTTTCATTGTTGATCCCCGCTCTCTAATGAGAAACAGAGTATACACAGTATCGCCTATCATCTTTTCTTTCCCGTCACCTCGTTTTCATTTCAAGATGCTCTTCTCCTGTTTTGTTTTCTCTCATTGCATATCATATGAACTATCAAATAAGTGTAGATTCCCACGATCGATTGTATGTACATATTCTCGTCTTCTTCTTTTCCTCTCTCTTTCTTCTTTGACTAGACCTCGTTTACACACGGAAATGAATGTGCATAGGAAGACGAGATATTTTGTTGTGGATTGTTCACGCTAACAATTTAATTACTTTCTTTCATCGACACGAGTTGAATGTATTGAACAACGATAGTTTTCCTAAGGTGTGTTTGACACATTGAACGTGTCCATTCAAACAATGTCATCCGAATGATATAAACATTCTTTTTCTACAATGTTCATTCAATTTTGAAGATAAAAGAATTTGAGGAATTTTCTGCTTTCTTAACAGGATACAATCAACTCGATTCTTTAGAGATTAAATTCATTTCGACATCAGATAAAAGGTTAAGATTCGCTCATCGACTCTTTTTTTTGTATGGAATAGACACGCACACAACCGCTGATGGATTTTCTAATATAGATAATTGAAGCGAATGTGTTCAATCTCTCATCAAAACTGTCCGCCATCGCATGTTGTTGTCTGTCTACTTGATCACGACGGATATCCGATAGCGGCGTCGAATGCCTCTTTTTTCTTTCTACTTTCGATTTCCTACTTCAGGTATTTGTACTATTTCAATTGTTTTGTTTTTACTTCGTATTGAAAGTTGAAAAAACTTTGTTTATTTGTCGATATCGACACTTGTCTGGTCGGTAAGCAAGCAGCTGAATATGTGTATACACGCCGGTACGCATACATATCGACGGTTGAACGTCCGCGCGCGTTCGCTTTCGTTCGTTTGTTCATGAACCTTGTCGTCTTAAGAATTATGCAGACAATGTGGACGACCAGAGAGAAAACGCGCGAAAGGAAAAGAGGAAGAGAAAGAAAATTGAGGAGAGAACGTTGTGATCGAGCACGAAAGAAGAGAGAAAAGAGAGAATGATTGTCCAGTTTTTTGTCTGTTCTCTCTTTTTTTGTTTCATAGACGTGCGCTCGCGTTCCTCTCTTATTCATTGCTACCATTGACCGACACTCCGTCATCATCATCATCATTTTACAAATGAAACAACAGTTGCTTTAAAAAACTCCATTTTAATCATTGATCAACATTGAAATCATCGTTATTCTCATTGAAACACTACTCTATCTCCCGATATGGGTGCCAATGATAGTCCAGCAGCAACTCAATCCATTGTTACTGATTATTTCGATTGGCGTTTAAACAATCGAACAATAACGAACAATCGTCTGTTTTCCATCGTCCGGATGATAGCCGCTGAGTGCGAAACAACCTACGTATCTGAACAGCCCGCATTCAATATACAATTCTCTGCACCCAACGATCCTACACGGACATTGAACAATATTAAATCTTTTCATAATGAAATTGCAAGAGAATTTTTTGCTGACGGACGTATATCTTGGTCGCGCATTATAACTTTTATTAGTTTTTCTGCAATGCTTGCTGAGCGTATCATTCAGCAACATCAGCAAGCGAATTTACCACGGGAATTGATTATTTCATCCATAGCCGAATGGACATCAGATTTTATTAATACAACTTTTCAAACGTGGCTACAAAGTCAAGATTATTGGGTAAAATCAGACATTGATTGACTATTTTCTTCAAAGATTAACTATGAATCAATTGTAGGTTGGTTGTTTGAAACTTTACGATAAAACCCCACAACGACGAAATTCAATTGGTCGCTATGCGGGTATTCTTGGCACGCTAGGTTCGTATTTGACTTTTCTTTAATCTCTATATTAATCGAATAGAATCCTTAGAGAAGGCGTGTTCAGCTACGGGACAGGTGATCAGATATATGTGTTAGAACAACAGATTAGTAGAAAAGGCATATATGCGTGACACCATCATGCCTTTGGGAGGAAGAAACGAGTCCAATAGCCAGATGTGATATATACGTATTGAAAGGATAATAGCTTTTTTTGTCCTCTGCATACACAGCAGTAGTGACAATCCATTAAACAATCAAGATGCATGAATCTTCATCCTCCCACCTACTAGGCTAATGTGATAACAAGCTAAACGTGTATATGTGCGTTATCCGGCTCGAAAGAATAAAACTAATTACACACGCCCAGCATGGTATATATGCGTCTTTTGTTTTCTTCTAGGTATGCTCACACTTGGCGCGATTTACATCAGACGAACTTGAAAAGTCAAAAAGAAGCTTCTTATTTTTGGTAACAGTGATTCTTTGGTCTCCTTTTTTTTTATTACGATTGTTGTTCTTCTTGTTTTGTCAAATATATACCTGGGTCATATGTATGTATGTGTGTATATATAAATATACAGATGGTGATATAAACCACCAGTAAAATGAATCCGTATTTGATTTGTCGACCTTTGATCTTATTTTATCTTTATGAGGGAGACCATCCAGAAATACGATTTATTTGTTTATCAAGGGTATATCTAATTTTGATTCGAAGAGAAGACGAATGTATCCATCTGTCATGCGGTATTCCACTGTATGTAGTTAAACTCAATCTTGGATAGATAAGCAGAAGAGGATGCAATGAACGATTTGAGTTGATAAATTAGAAATTATTCGTGAGAATGTATGTCAGTTGTTTGCTCTGTTTTGTTAACAAGAATAATTAAGAATCTTTTTCGTTCAAGTGAAAGCAAATTACATTTAGATTGTGCCTTGAAGAGATTTGTTGAAGTACGAACAAGATTCATCCGAAAATGCGATAATAAGATGTTATTGACTGTAAGGATTTACTTTTGCATCATGCTTCGGTGCGATTTCTGATGGTAGACGCGAAATGTTGGTTATTGATAAAGAGTTTACTGCAGCACTTGAACTGATATTGCAATATGAAGAAATGGAGCAACGTAGAGAATCAGTTTCAGTTGCATCGAAAGGAAAAACGAAAACAGAATTTTTCTCCTTCATAAATACTTTCGATGGACAAACCGAATTCCTATTAACTTTTTATAATTTACATGCTCGTTAGGCATTTTATTACCGGTTACAATAATTGAAAAACAAAAAATTATTGCATCTACTTTACACATAAGTTTTATAGTGAAGTCGAGATCTTGTTTTTGTTGCAAGATGATCTATTCTATGAAAGATATTCATATATGAATTAGTTCTGATAGAAAAGTCAATAAGTTTCCGTTAATCTAGGTTTTGAACTCTACTGATACGAACGTCATATTGGATTATTGATGATTGTTTGACTTCTTATCATTATCCGAATATCAGTTTGTGTGGAGCGAAGTACATCCAGTCGTCGCAATCATCAGATGACGGCTCAAAAAAAGATTTACACTTTCGATCGTAAATTCGTTTTGTAATGGTACTGAAAATTCTTTTATCTGGTTAGCAAAGAAAAGAAAGGTGCATGTCATTGAATCAATAGAAAGAAACCATAGCATCGAGTATTTTATTTATTACTTTCAAGTATCAGTGTATATCCAGCTTTGCGCGATATGAGAGTCTTATCATTTCAAGCGAATATTGAAATACGCCGACCGCTTTCGACAATCCTCTTCAGAAGAAATTCGTCAGTTCGCTTGTAAGAGAAAAAGAGTCAAAACAAAGTCAGCAATGGGTGGTGGTGGAAGTAAGAAACCTAAGCAAGTTAATGAACCGCCAGTACAAAAGCTGCTGCCACCTCCATTGGAGCAACCCAAGAGAGATGTTTCTTTGCTATCGCTACCGCGCGCACCGCCTACTTTTTCGCCTGTTGAGGAAGAACGTCCAAGAATTAGCCCAGTATTACGACCAATAACTCCTGCCAGTACGAAAAAAAGTGTTTCAGGTACTCTTTTAGTTTCATATCATTACCTCATGTTTCAGATGTATTTTCAGTTCGAGAAAAAAGTTTCCATAAATCTGGAGATGAAGAGAATGATCATGATGATGACGACGACGACGATAGTGATGATGATGAAGATGATGATGAACGACCATCAACTAGTGGTCAGCGGGGAAAACCAAAATCTCGTGCGACAACGAAAGTTACAACGCCAAGTCCTATACCGTTGCTCAAGAAACGAGCATCTGTGGCGAGTTCAACTACAACAACAACTAGTACTCATTCGGACTTGCATCGAGCCGGTTCATCGACACACAAAGGAGAACTTGGTCGTTACTGTTCGCATTGCCCGCATTGTCAACGGCGAAGTCCTGGTAAAAATTCCATAGTCGCCGAAAAAACACCTGTCTGGCTAACAAAAAGACCAAAACGAGAGGGTTTAACTATAAATATGGATAATTATGATGCCGACGCCATTCATGAGAAAGTCATCGCTCTCAACGGTCATATTCCTGGTTCGTATGATTATCAGCCCCAATTGACGATCGCACTTACCAAAGATAAGAATGAGTTTACGAAAGAAAACTACTTTACTCTACCATTTGTAGTTAAAACAGTACCAGGCGTTGCACCAGCATGCACACCGTTTCCAAACTACAAGATTTTGGAACGCAACGAACGACGTATCAATAAACCTTATACATTACCATTATTTACCGATTAACTCTTCTTTCTTTTTCATTATCAAAAAATGAATCGAATATTTTCCTCCTCTTTCTTCTGATTTATATAATCTTTCTATTTTATAATATACAATAAACAAGTCTAAATTTCCCACAACGAAATTTCATTTCTGAATATACATAGTAACGATTGTTGAGTGCAAATGAAGATTTCCCTCGCTTTATTCATCATCTCATTACTACTAATGTCAAAGAGCATCTATAGTAAACCGTTCCGGAGATCGACAATTCCACCGTACTTCTTACGGCACTATGAAGCGATATCGAATGATCAAATCTTGAATAAACCGCAAAGGGGTATAAATAGTATCAATAATAATTTTCAACGGAAACGAGTTTATCATTGTGCATCATGCGATCTATATGATTGTTGTCAAAAAACAACTTGTCTATGTCTAAATGATTACTGGGGTCCTGTTTGTTATTGTAAAAAATAATCCTTTTTGATCCAAATGGAATTAGATGAAGAAGAAAATGCAAGAACTAGTCGTTCTCTCAGTTTTTTTTTGCTTGCATTTTCTTTTTCTCTTCGACAATTGTATTTGGTTGAACATGACGACATGGTTAATTGTGTAAATTAAAAATAGAATAAAGTAAAGTTTGAGTTAATCTTATTTGTTATATGCTAATATGCTCTTGCCGATTGCAGCCACTTGGTCCAATTGATTATCTCTCGTTTATCTTGCTCTTGACGATGAAGATGTGCTGTTCTCCATCCGCCTTCTTTTTCTCTTTCGATTATTTGACTTCCTATGTGAGTTTTTCGAAGACTTTCCATAGATTCATTCTTCTTTCTCGTTCTCAAACGTTTTCTTCTCTATATCTCCTTGTGTTTTAGATCGACCTTGATCATCGTCAACAACTAAAGTCTACAGGATTTTACTATTTGATTTTGTTTCTCTACCATTGCCGGTAACTTTTTCTTCTTTGACAAAAAAGGAGAAAAAAAAGGAAGAACTGATCATCTACTCATGAGCACGAACAAGCAGAAAAAGAACTCGCGAGGAATTCATATTCTTCGATAACAACAGAATGAGACATGACCGATCTATACAATGAAGTTAACTATGTCACTAACAAGCCTGAAAAACCGACAAAAAGTCTTTCTTCTTTCATTACTCAATCAGATTCTTTTTCTCCATGTCACGACAATTTAGTTTTTTGTGATCATTAGAAAGACAGCTGCTACTCGTCATTATCTCATCATTTCTTGTCATCGAGAAGACGAAAATGATCTATTGTATCAATACGCATATGGTGTAAGAGAACTTGTCTAGATACATGTCGATCGTTTATCTCATCTCGAGTCTCGTTATATTCGGGGCTTGTGACGTTCTATTTCAATTTGTTCAAACTTCCGAAGGTGAAAATCGTCTTGTATATTATCTCTTCTCCGAACAAGGTTATAATCCACTTGTACGACCCACCCAGCATTCCAATGAAACCGTGACTGTGTCATTTGGTCTTTTATTAGTTCAATTAATTCACGTAAGATTTCGATCGAATATTCAATCTATTCTACAAAATGTGTTCGGTTAGGTTTACGAAAAAGAACAAATTATGAAAACAAATACATGGCTGCATATGAAATGGTAGGTGACATCTGTTCAAACGTAAATAGCTTGTGAAATCAATGGTTTCAGGTACGATCCACAGCTGAGATGGAATCCGGAACGATATGGTTTGATTCTTCTTGGGATAAATAATCAGTGATTATACAAACTTTCCCTTTTCATAGGCGGTGTCGATCAAATTAGTGTACCTTACACCAATGTTTGGACACCAGTGAGTTTTGCAACACTTTTTTAAACATTTATTAATAATTCATTTCTTTTAGGATGTTGTTCTATTCAATAATGCAGGTAAACACTCTGTGTATACCATTTCTCTTTTTCCACTTTACTCAATCAACAGATGGAAATTATGAAGTTTCATTTAAATCCAAAGTCGTTCTATTGCATACGGGTGAAGTTCAATGGATTCCACCTGCAATCTACAAGTCTTCATGCCGAATCGACGTGAAATTCTTTCCATTTGATACTCAAAAATGTGAAATGCGTTTTGCATCGTGGACATACAATGCGCGAGAAGTAGCATTTACCCATTATAGCGAAGAACGCGATAAAAAGTCAGAAATAACCAAATTATTAACACAACAGGCAATTAGTGCCACTAAAGATGAACCATACAAAGATGATTATCTCGAAAGTGGAACTTGGGATGTCCTGAATGTATGCAAAGACCTTCGCATCAAGTTCTTCCATGGAGTCTTTCTCTATTTCTGTAGATTCCAAGTAAATTCGTTCATTATTATTCGAATGGTTCGAGTTCCATACCCGATTACATCGAAATTGTCTTTTCTATTGAAATGAGTCGCAAAACTTTATACTATACAGTGAATCTAATTGTTCCAACTGGTCTAATGGGCATTCTTATCTGCATTGTTTTCTGTCTACCAACTGCAGCCGGAGAAAAGATGACACTCTGCATGTCAATACTTTTAGCGCTGAACCTCTTTCAACTTCTTGTGACAAAAATTTTACCACCGACATCAGCTGTAGTTCCACTGATTGCTAAGTATCTCCTTTTCACATTTTCACTCAATGTTCTCGTCATTGGTAAGCATAGAAACGACGCAGATGATATCTGTCACTCTATTTTTGTATTTTTCCTATAGTTAATACAGTTGTAATAACGAATTTTTATTACCGCACACCGATGACTCATTCAATGCCAGGTTGGGTACGACGAATTTTCATTCATTTACTTCCGCGGTTATTGTGGATGGAATCGCCGAAGTTAAAAGCAAAACGTGAAGAATACGAAATGGCAAATGCGATGGAAAAATCTGTTGTTTTTCAAAATCCGACTCATATTTCGACTGAAACCATTCAGACAAAACCAAAACCGAAATTCAAACACACTCATAAAGTAACTCATTAACAAATGTTCACCATCTGATCTTTTGTCTACTTTCCGATTGCAGGATCATCGTTCTAGCTGCGAATCAAACGCTTCGTTAGTTACTTACATCAACGATAAACGCCGAACGTCGACAATTCTTCTAAAACCAATATCGAATTCGAAACCTCCACAACATCCAAATTCTAAGCGGAAGTACTTCTTTTTCGAAGAAGAAAAGCGGGTGGTCGCTACAACTGCTCAGAGTAAACAAAAACCCAGTGGTCGTCGATTACAAGTCGAACAAATGCGACGAGAACTTGTTCAAGCTCTGCAAAATATTCGCTATATCGCTGCACATTGCGAACAAGAATCCCTAATTGAATCTGTACGTGATGAATGGAAATTCATTGCAACAGTTATCGATCGTCTTCAATTCGTAATCTTCCTGACAGTGACAATATGTGGATCAGTGGCTTTGCTCTCTGAAGTACGTCTATTCGATTACAGACATTCATTTATTTGATTTCTTTTTTATCTAGGGATCGTATGTCTTTCGGTTTGGTTCTCAAGACTCGCAGAAACTCATCCGATTTTCTAATCCGAATACGACTGTTCATGAATTGACACGAACGGCTCGGAATTAGCTTCATTGTTCATTTCATTTTCGTGGCTGTAGACTTCATGCCTTAACCGATTGATTGTCAAAAGCGATATCTTCTGTTGAAATTTTACAATTAGGATAGGAGAATATTCTCTTGATATGTTTTAGTAAATGAAATGTGTTTAATCACACCTAATCCAACAAATTCTTGATGTCTATGTATTAACACTTTTGCATCAATGTCGGTATGTGACGCCCTCTTCAGTGGTACATGTTGCACATAGCTAAGAAGATCAATATTAATGAATGGCTAGATTGACTTGTCAAAATAAGGAAAATTGTTATTGAAATATGGAATGGAACGAATCTCTACACAAACAATGTGTTTTTCTTGCATATTTGAATTGATTTCATTGTATTCCCTAAAGTTTTCTTTGTAAATTGATTCGCTAATGAAAACAATTTCTCATAAAATGACCATCGTTCATCTTTGAACGTTACAATGATAAATGAACATTTTGACAAGTTAATAGTTAGTCTCATTGTCAACATATTAATCAATAAAATTTCATTTTCAATCGACACACGACTTCTAATGATCTCAATGTCTAACTTTGATCATTTCAATCTAAAGTATTTCACATTAAACAAACAATTGACGTGCGATAAACTATACATTCCAATGCGTATGACATAGCGATACACACCTAAGGCTATGTTCATTCCAACGAAATGGATATTTGATTTTGCACAAGAAACATAACAAGAACAAATGTTGAACGGAACGGAAGACGGACGATTTGATTTTTCGGAAAAACATCTACATATGTCCAATCGACATGCATATTTGATCTCAGCTGGATATCTAATCGTCAATGAAGATGAACATTGAACATATTTGTTTTGATTGTAAATGAGAGTATGACTGTGAAAACACGACTGTCGTCCTTCTGTCTGTTTCAACACAGTAGGTATTCAATATTCTTCATTGATCACTAT